TTTAATTTGTTATAAAATGGAAGTGTTGTATAATGGTGGGTTACGTGTTGTTTCATGAATGAGAAACTCTCGCAGACACAGACCTGGAGGTTTTTTCTTTTTTAGCTCCTGAAAATGTTCCATCTTGGAGATGCATAATAACAGGAGAGGACATCCTCACTCGTCACTTCATATGATATTGCTGTCAGTCACAGAATCACGTCTAAGAGGCTGATTCATTTAAATTGTGTCACTTGAGCACTCACGAACAGACGGCTTATTACATAACACTGACATTATTCACACCTAATGAATGAGAAAGATGGTTTCCTGTGCGCCAGCTTTAAAAGGTCAATGTGGAAAAAAAAACTTTACAGCAAAGTTCTAATACGATCATTAAAACAACATGGGTCGAGAGTCCTGGCATTTTAACAGAGACGTAAAGATTCATACCTGGGGTTTCAACATTAGTTCTGCTCATTCTTAATGATGTTATGAGGTAGACGCCCATAAATCTAGAAAAACAAAACAAGTTATTTTCTATTTTCGGAAGTTAAGAAGATGTGAATTATGAAATCTGCCCCAGTACTCGTCCCTGATATTATCAATAAAATCCCTTTGGAAGATCAGAAGCAAATGAACTTAAGGGCCATGAAGAGGAGGACAAATTACAGATTGGCTCTGTCTCTAAAACTAATGAGAATAAAAGATGGATGACCTATCCCCACGTCCTCCCACTATCCAGAACTACAGACAAAATATGTCAGATACCAACTGTGCTGATTATGAAAATTGGAGCCATGAGTCAGGGGACGGAGCCACAATTTCGAGGTCAAATCATAAGTTAGTCTCAGCCATTAAATAACCAGATAAAACCAAACTTAGCAGAAACAAACCATTCATCAGTGTATGACGACAAAAATGTATGTGACGTGCACTTTGTCTTTTTTGCTTGGTTTATGTCCCATTCACCAACATGGAAGAGACAGAATATCATCCATCTTCACATACAGTCTATTTTCTGAACATATTCACAAGCTGCTTCTTTTCTTACTTCCACGTGTACTTTGAAACCAACAATCATCTTCTCCGTGTTGTTGTGAATATCCCACTGAGAGGCCCCTCTCTTTCTTACTCACAGTCCACTGACTAATACCGTCTACAATGCCTCTGCCTCTAACAGCCTGTGTGTCCTCTACAGTGCGTCTGTAAAAACTGTCAGGGGGCGTCTTACCCACGTCATCGGCAGAGCCTTAGAGGCCGCTGATGAAAAACGACAGCAATGCTCTGTTTTTTTTCTGCTTGCGTCCAACCGACGGAGCCATTAGTCAGTTATAAAGAGCCACACCAGCCCACTGGAGCTATTAATAGTAACTTAGACAGCCTTATTTTCTCCAGGAGAAAGCCAGCCCAGCAAAATCCCCCTTTCCCTGCTCATTTCCTCCCCACCCTCCACTCTGCAATGTACGAAATGTATTTTTAGTCTCATGCAACTACAGGCTCCTATTTATACTGAGACTTGTGTGTAGAATCAACACAAATCACACAAGAGCTGTGAAGTTAGAAGAGCGTCAGAGCCACGCGCTGCAGGTTAATGAATAGAAATCTTCATGTGAGAACTGACGGTGACGACCTGTGACATATGTCTCGGCTCATTCCCTCATCAGTTACTAACTCAAACCAGACTTCACACATGACTTCACCGGCTGTAGTTTTTATGAGGTCTTACTCATTACACTGCTCTTTAAACAGAAGGATCGTATAGAGGGACACAGTTTTTGGAATACTTCGACATCCACTCTGCTGTACACCCGTTATTTTACTTTGTGCATTTATACATTCATATCACCATACCTGCTATACTTGACGTTGTTGTATTTCCTATGAAAACAATACTAAGCATAGTTAAAATTAAAGAATACAGTGCTTAGAGATTATAGACACTTAAAAAATGTCCATTTCAAGTGGAATTAACATTATTAATTTTGCACATGT